ATTTATACACACACATATAAACTCTATGTTCACACCAAAAATGGGTTTCAGACTATTTAGATATCGTGGATTATACAAAGATGACTTTGTTCACACCTTTGAAGACTGGAATATAATTAGAGAAGAATGATGTGTCCAGGTGTGCAAGGTATATGACATGCAGGTGGGCATACAGAGACGGAGAACAGTGCATGGCGTACATCTGGCCTCTAGGGTCAGGGAAGCAGCTATCCTACGTTTCTCCCTTTTAGAATCTTGGTCTGTGAGGATTTAAGTGTCCTGGGATCACAGTGACAATAAAAAATCCTTGGCTAATGAGCAACTTTGGAAATTGAGCCTCTGGGGATACAAAGTCGGTAATGTCTCTATGACCACCTCATTCATTGGTTCTTCCCTAGCAAAGAAATGACACACCTCAGGCCAGGGCTGCAACCCCATTAATTTGGGAGGCTGAAGCAGGAGGATCGCTTAAGGCCAGGAGTTTGAGACCAGCCTGGGCAACATAGCAAGACCCCGTCTCTACGAAAGAAAGAAAGAAAGAGCCCACCTGAGCCTCTTCCTATAGCTGATTGCTCTTGCCTGGGATCGCAGGGCCTCACTCAGTTTCTCTGCCCTTCGTGAAGACATCTCTTCCATATGATACATCTAGAGATATCAAGCATCATTCCACTGTGATGCCAACCAGGTACCCTAAGATACCCTTAGTAAATGTTCAGACATGAACTGGGTGTTTTACTTCAATTTCATCCAGATGGGAAACTGTGAAAACGGTACATATATCTAATGATCAGACCCTAGTTACCGTGGGTCTCCTGCTGAACTGTCTGTCATTCTCTTCCTATGTTTTCTTGTATCTTTGCACTGATACTCAAGGTACTTGTCGTCTACTAATCTCATACCTCATACCAGTTTCTACCATAGCCAGGAACATTTTTGTCCTGCGTAAAAAATCTGCCTCTTCGCAAGCAGAATGACTATTATAAAATTCTCTGACACGTACCAGCAGTCCTGTGGTTGTAGGGAGCAAGACGTTTGGTCAACGTCACCTTATCTTCCCACCCGTAGTTCTTGATACATCTTCCTATTATCTCTGTTTCCTGGCTCTGTGGTCTCTGGGGATCTATGCAGAATCTTAAAGCTGCCTCCCTAGTCTGTTTCTCTTTATAAAATTACCAAACGTTTTAGATAATCAGAACAGCAAGGATGGTGTTATTTTATTTTATTTTATTTTAGAGACAGAGTCTCGCTCTCTTGCCCAGGCTGGAGTGCAGTGGCGTCATCACAGCTCACAGCAACCTCAGATTCCTGGGCTCAAATGATCCTCCTGCCTCAGCTTCCTGAGTAGCTGGGACTACAGGTGCTCACCACCACGCCCAGCTAATTTTTCTATTTTTTTTTTTTAGAGATGGGGTCTGGCTATTTTGTCCAGGCTGGGCTCAAGCAATCCTCCCAGAGTGCTGGGATGACAGATGCGAGCCAGTGCACCCAGCCAAGGATGGTGTAATTTTAAAAAATAACCACTCCTTAACCCTTTCCAGAATTTACATTGTTGACCCTCTGCTATGTAAGCTTCAGGTTTTGCAAAAGCAACAAAACGTACAGACAGAAGGCTTTTGAATCCCTTTCCACTGGGTGTCCTTCATTTGCAAAGATGGTGTTTCTGTCTGGTGACGTTTCATTTGCCGCTCTAGAAAGCGCACATTTTACGGTCTCCTTCTCCCATCTTTTTCATCAGATTCATCAACAACATGGAACCCAGCAACGAAACAACTGTTTCAGAATTCCTTCTGCTGGAGGTGACACAGGACGCAGAGCTGCAGCCCGTCCTCTTCAGCCTGTTCCTGTCCATGTACCTGGTCACCGTCCTGGGAAACCTTCTCATCCTCCTGGCTGTCATCTCGGACTCCCACCTCCACACCCCCATGTACCTCTTCCTCTCCAATCTCTCCCTCACTGACATCTGTTTAAGCACAGCCACCGTCCCAAAGATGCTGGCAAACATCCGAACACGGAGTCAGAGCATCACGTATGCGGGCTGCCTCACCCAGATGTGCTTCGTTCTGATTTCTGCTAGTTTGGAGAGCTTCCTTCTTGCAGTCATGGCTTACGACCGCTACGTGGCCATCTGTCACCCTCTGAGATACGCGGTCGTCATGAATCCTCGTCTGTGCGGTCTGCTGGTTTCACTGTCCCTGTCCGTCTGCTCCGCGGATGCCCTGCTCCACAGCCTGATGGTGTTGAGGCTGTCCTTCTGCGCAGACGTTGAAATCTCCCTCTTCTTCTGCGAAGTCGTTCAGGTGGTCAAGCTCGCGTGCTCCGATACCCTCGTCAACACCCTCCTGATCTATTTTGCAACTTGCATCTTAGGTGGCATTCCTCTGTCTGGCATCATTTTTTCTTACACTCGAATAGCCTCCTCTATCTTGAAAATGCCATCGTCGGGCAGAAAGTATAAAGCATTTTCCACCTGTGGGTCTCACCTGTCGGTTGTTTCCTTGTTCTATGGGACAGGTTTGGGGGTGTATATCAGTTCTGCAGTTTCTGACTCTTCAAGGAGGACTGCGGTGGCTTCAGTGATGTACATGGTGGTCACTCCCGTATTGAACCCCTTCATCTACAGCCTGAGGAACAGGGACATGAAGGGCGCCCTGAGGAAACTCATAGGTAGGATACCTTCTCTTCTCTGATCGTATTGCCTGCTTTGGACGGGGGCTTCAAAATGAGTCAGAGGGACAGAAATACACGTGTGCTAGAATGCCTGGTTCTTCCATCTCTATGTTCGTCTGAATTAACTAGATAACAAAATGGGTGAGTAAATTTTAACTTGGAGATTGAAACCTCATGTGCTCTTTGCGCGGCTCTGTGATTTTACAAAAACAGGTTCCATTCTCCAAGCTCAATTTCTTTGGTTGGAGTCCATAGACACTGAACCCTAGGCCAGGGTTATAGTGATGCTGCTGGAATGTTCTTAGAAAAAAGAATAGTTGAAGAAGTTGGATAAACAAGGCCAGGATCATAGCAGAGACTCAGTTCTGCCTCACCCTGTGGTTACAGCCATGTGCACTACACCCCAGATGTAAGCTGTTGTGAAATGGGGGAGATGATCTTTCGTACCTCGAATCAGTAATTCTCGAGATCTGTCACTGGTAAACCACATCTGCGCAGGGCCACCTACCTCAGTATCCACCACACTCAGTCTCATCACCTAAAACGTTGCTATAATTAGATGATCTCGGTGGTTTGAGATGTTGGTGAGACATTTGATCTTGATCAGTGAGAAAGCCTTTGTCTCTCATAAGACGAAGAGACTGTAATAGTTCACAAACAAAAAGGAGAATTATCTTTTATTACAAGGATTTCCGAGGTAGGGAATGTAGAGGGAAATTCATTTAATCCTCCATGGGGTGGCTTTGTGCTGGGATGGCTTCCCTCATAGACCCGTATTGCTGCAGAGATGCAGGAATCCCACGCCCAGACATAATGTCCAGAAACAGAAATCTGACCATCTTTCCCTTGGGTCTATTGATAATTAACATTGTACGGAGTCATCCAGAACTTATTACTGAGAATTGGATTATATACCCTGTTATTAATCTAATTCCTGATTTGGGGAAGATTATTAAAGAGCCTTAGCCTGAACCTAGGAGTGTGCAATGCTTGTTGCGTAGTTCACCCCTGTAAGCAGTATAAACACTTAGCACAATGTCTGTAACTTAATAAGTACTCAATAAAATTTATCTGGTATCATTGGGTGCCATATTTTTGCCTATATTCATGATCTTGAAAACCTATAGTCTTAAGTGTTTTTCCTACATTCTTCAGCAACTAAATTTGTTTCCTTTTATTGTTATATTTATTAGCTGCCTTTTCCAGTCTGAGTAATA